CAAACCGCGTGATTCAAACGAGTTCACGGGCAATTCTCAAGAAATTTGCCTGAAGTAGAGCCGTGGTAGTCACTCACCTGCGGTTACAAGGCGCAAGTCAATTTGAATATCGTCCTTCCGCGGCAGTCACCAACCACAGCAACTTCCTGTTTTGGAAAAAAAATCGTATTTGGAAGCCCGCGGTTGTCCCTTTGCGTCTGAGACAGTGAGACTTTTGCCGCGCATCTGCACAAGCGTCAGTGTACAAGTCGCTGTAATCCCGAGAGGACTGAGACGTACCTCCATGCACTTCCCGGTCCGTAGGCTATCCGAATCGATAGTGTAGAAGGCCTCCTGCCGAGCTGCCCGACGAGCATCGTTCTGTTGAAACATCGGAAGTGTCTCGGCGTGCAAACAATCGCAGGGACTCGTACTAAACCATTTACAGACGTCCATGAGACACCTCAGTCTACGACGAATGAATTGCATTTCTCCAGCGGTAGTGAATCTCCTAAAGGCCAGAGAAGGGCCACCGGTGCTGCATACGATATCGAGATTTGAGCTTCTGGTACGAGGGCACGTTTCTTCCACGGTCGGGGCACGAGAGCAATTAGCAGGTGGTAGGACAGCGCCGGGCAGCATAGTCGTATCGTCTTCGCTTGGGGCGGTCACACGGTAGAGATATTGCGTTTATTGCATGACTTCTTCGGTTGCGGAAAAGACGACGAGTGGGTCATAGAGCCCTGCGTACACGATGTCCTGCAGTACACCTTGTGCGCGGTCGACTGGATAAAACGGCGGCGTTGGCAGCTCCGCCCTGCCCACAATGTTTCGCTCGAGGAAAACACGTTCAGCCCAGAAGTCGCGCAAGAAATCCAATGTCCCGCGCGCCAAGTCTCCTCCGCCGTGCCAGTCGGAGCTCACTACCGAGGAAGACGACGCGTTGCTGGCCGCCATGGTCGATCCTGTGTCGCGAGCACTGATCTTACAGCAGGCTGCGCCCGAGGTGACTCGGAGTTTTTCTGCGCGTTCCCTTTCGAGGCTAATGTTCGTAGAGCGGGGTAAAACCATGGACGGACGAGTATGAGCAGGCCCTACGCAGTCTCTTATTTCCGCCCGGTGAGTCGTGTGTCGCGTTGGAAGTGCATCGTACTCAACCTAGTAGCACAACGCAAGTCCCGTGTCCAGCTCTACTTTGACGTCGTACGCGCGCAGGCCGACGCCGCTGGCATTGACAAGGCGTCCCGAGGCGAGTATTTGAGAGAGGTGTGTGTTGTTGCACTCGTCGTGGCCGCGTCTAACGATGCTTTAGTTGATGGACAAGTTTGTGGAAGCGGGAGGGGCGGTGGGCGATGTCTGAGTGGAACAGTAAATCATCGTAGTGATTTCGCCGTATGTTAGCGTGTGTCAGTGCCTCCCAACAAAAGAGCGGGTGTCTGTTTGCCATTGTCAGCGTGAATTCATATATGTTTCCTGTGCCAAAAAGTTTTCAGGAGTTCCGATTGTGCAAAGTCGACGCGCATCGGAATTCGGAACCTTTTCCGCAACTGCCTGTTTTGGCCAATGTGTTCCCGCTCGTCCCTTCTGTGGCGATTCTTCGTCGGTTTTTTGTTTCCTCGCAGTGAATGGCAAAAATTCATCCGTTGTTTCGTTGCTCGCAGTCAACTGCAAAAATGCCGCGCGACACTGGCAGGATTCGAACCTACGCCCTCAAAGAGGAACAGATAGTTCGAAGGTGATTCGAATCTGTCGCCGTAACCACTTGGCTACAGTGCCGATGAGGAGAAGGGGATGGGTGTCCAATGAGATCGCCACTCGTAGTTGTACTGTAACTACTCCGCGAAACCGCGCCGAAATTACCACCTCTGCCGCTGACCTGAGAATCATACTCTGTTCTGTTCTTGAACGCCAACCAGCACACCGTGAGCCGTCATGGACTGGTATGTTGCGCCCCTTTGTAGCTGCTGCTGTACTGAATGTGTCACGTAGTCTTGAACTGAACATCCACCAGCGAATCCTCTGGGACATCGCGGCCAGCGTCGGCGAACATACAGAAGATGTCGCGAGCGCAAAGGACCTTGTCGCGTCCAAGGTCCAAACGCGAGACACACCAGCTGAAGGCGACCATGAGAGTGCAGGCGAGGAAAGGGTTTTCATGGTGAGCAACGCTACATTCCGCAAACGCGTGCCGGTCTGACGATCCATTAGAGCACCTCGAGTGCGCATTGCAACATCGCGTTCGGAGAACTCGTCGTCAATTTTCCCCACGACCACTTGTCTAGCACCATCGACACTATTATACCCGTGCTGGTTGATGTCTTACGCGACGTGCCCCACATTGATTTTGACCAGTGTCTGGCTTGGGAAGGTACGCCGCAGCATGTCCATCAGCCCTGACACTCTAACGCGCCATGTAGAGTGGGCTCTGCCAGATCAACTCGTCTACTCTACCGTGTCCGCACTACTGCGAATATCGAGTGGTCACTCCGAGTACATCGACGTCGCCACCAATGCTATATTTTCCTTCATATCCGTAACAGTAGCGAAAATCAAGACTGGCAGAGGTGAGCGCGTCACGTTCTAGCCACCCCCAGTCATCGCTGACGCCTCTCCGCAGCCATTGACGTGGTCACCCAGTCGTCACCCTCACTCCACGGACTCTACCGCGCCATCACCTCTACCTCATACCCCTGGTCATATTCCCAATGGGAGCAGCTCTCGAGCCATCTCAGCGGTCTCTTCTCGGCAGACGTCGTTGACCGCCTGAACCGTCTGTTGACGGATATTGTCCAGGATGAAGAGACCGACCCAGACGTTACTCAGTACATCCAGACTTTCCTGTCCCGTTACATCGCGCGCGGCCGGCCCCTCAGTGGCTATTTTGTCGCGTGCTGTGTCATCGAGACAGAGTGGACCGTCTTAGCGCAGGTGCTTGCGCCGCCACAAGCATCTAGCTACATCAACGTATACGAGGCGGCTGCCGCGAACAGGGCCTGGTCTTCTTTGATGCGCAATGCCGGTCTCGAGCTAAACATCACAGACGAGAGCGCGCGCACATCGCTGAGAAAGACCATTGGGCATGCGATGCAATGCTTTACCGATTTGCTCGAGCAGATTGAGGAGATGGACGTCGAGCCTTCGATGGATACCTACGCCTGGGAGACAATGTCAGAGAGTCTGGTCTGTATGTCGTGCTTTTCGGAGTTGTTAATTCGCTTACCATCTCTGTGCAGAAACTCGCTTCAGTGTGCTCCGTCGCCCTGCAAGAATTCGACCAGAGCCTATATGCGCGTATCATGCTGCTGCTTAGCGACGAGTCCCCCATCTCCGACCCGCTGGTCCAAGAAGCGGCTTTGAAAGCTACGACCGTTCTGGTTCAGAGGTGCATAATCGTTTCGCAGCTAATACTTGTACCTCTTACGATCGCATTTGCAGCTTCCCCGATATCGCGGCCGTAATGGCCAGCCATCTGCGTCGGTTCGTTACATCGCCGCTGCCCATATTCGAATTCGAGTTCGCTTCAGAGCAACGCGCGCCTCCGGCGCTGGCTGCTGCGGCCAAGTGCCTAGCACTATGCATTACAGTGAGTTGCTTGATGGTCGACTTCATCCGATCGCTAAAACGACTGTAGCTGGCTCCCGGGGACGATCTCATCATGTCAAACATGTACTCTTTGCTGAACTACATCGCAGCGACGAGCAAGGAGATATCTGAGAGCTCCAACAACTCCCAGATCATGAACAACCCGCTCTACTCTCCGTCGGACCAGTCTACGCTTCAATCTGTGTCTACGGATCTTCGGGGACTATCAGAGGACGAAAAGCGGCTGGTCGGGATCAGCACGATTTCAGTAGTCACGAAACTTGCGCTTGAATTTCGGACAGAGGAGGTTTGCCCATTCTGCGTCGCCTTTGAGTCCTGATGAAGCTCACAATTTCCACCAGGTCACAAGGCTCACTATATCAATGTTGCTCCAGCGCCTGCGCTCTGCAGAACCCACTGTGGAGGCTGCGATTGCCTACAACCTCGTAGACCTTGCCTTTACTGCTCCTGAGGCATCGTTCATAGACATCATAAGGGCGTTTTCTGCCATCAATCGATCCGCGAACCCAGACGACCCGCGGTTTTCAAACAACATGGTTAGCCTTGCGATACTCCTGATAGAGGTGTATCTTATATTAAATACATCCAGGTCCTCGCTGCTCAAACGAGGCTGGCACAAGAGCTTTGCCACCGACCAGAGCTCTATGACATTTATTTAGCCGAACTGCTGACTCTCTATGCCGACAAAGGTGTCGCTATCCAGAACGTAGCCATCGCCAATCACAGGATGAAGGTAGGAGCTGTTTCTCTTCGGGTCGACATGCTCTAACGTTACTTTTGCGTTAGACTGACGACATGGTAGAGCAACTGGCATCGCTGTTACTCCCTATCGACGCACTTTTGCGCCACAATGATTTCAACCCGCAGCGGAACGCGTCGCCTGAGACGGTAGCACTGTTCCGAAATATGTGGTTCCTGTGCGCGCTATTCCATTTCACGTCGGGGGAAGAAGGCGAAGCGACCGCCATGGGGTGGCAGAGACCTGCCCTGGCTCGCATTGCCTCGAAGACGCCGTCGTTGGTTATCGAGGAATCACACGACTCTATCGCGAACGACCTTGAGTACAATTCGGTGATACGCCAAGAATACGCGCATACGGTAAGAACTCCCTGCAGTGCCAGTCACGACCAACATCGTTAAACTTGCTCTAGGTCATCTCAAAGCACCGGACATTCCTCACAAAGCATATATCACTGCGGACAAGCGAAATTCGATATCTTTCCCCTGGCCAGGTCGTGTTCTTGTTGACGATGCATGACATGGAGACCATGCGCTCTGCTGCCGGATTGCCATCATCCCTAGTTTCGTACTTTACCAACGACAGCCTCAACAAGCACCCTGGACTCAACGCCTGCATGGAGTCCATAGCTGAGAAGGTAATCCATCCCTGATTGCGGCTCTCTGATGTCTAACGGTCCATTCTGAAAGGTCATTCGAGGATGTGTCAATGACTTGAACACGCAAGCTGCTGAACAGGCTCTTCCTGATAGTCTTTCTTCGGAGCTACGCGTGCTGCTGGTGAGCAGCACTCATAGGATTGCGAAGGCTAGAGAGATCGCGTCCAAATACCTCAATCGTCTTATTACCTCGTTCCCTTCACTCATGTGCGACCCGCCCCTCGTGTTCGCTATTCTCGAAGTTCTGACTTTGCTCCGAAATGCCTGCGATAACGAATTTACGGACGAGGTACGCCTTGAGCTACTCTGTGCCAAGCTTACGCAATCTCATCGGATGACTTAGTATAATCCTGTCTACGAGTTCCATTCTGACAGGACTGGCATTACTCTTCAATTGACCGATAGCTACTTGGTCCGGGGTGAAATCCTGGCGCAATTGCATCGCAACGCGAACAGCTGGTTCGAGCTTGCTTTGGGCCGCGCACCGGTCGAGCTGCAGTCAACCTTGCAGGTTTGTCCCTTCGCATTGATATATATCGTAACTTACCAATACCTCCACACAGAAATATCTTGCTCTCAGTCAGTCATCTTCTAGTGCAGATGCCGCTGAACTAGGCGCTTCTGTAGCCGAGCAATTTGGCAAGGCCGTAGGACCAGTCCAGCGTGATTTGAGTGCGTTATAGTATTTGCTGTATTCGAAGGTTGTGCTGACGACTGCCTAAAAGCCTCGCTCGCCGCTCTTTCAAACTGGAAGGTTGACCGTGCCAAAGTGCTGTCCAACCAACTCGCGAGCAAAGGATATTTTGCTGGTGAAGTCGCCGGGCTCCGTTTAGCAAGTCGACACGGCAAGTCAATCTGCACCATATCATATACTCGTTTAAAAACATCATCACAGGAGCGGACAAGCTTGACAAGCTTCCGCCGTCACAGGCTCCATTTTCAGAGATTCAGGCTCTCAAGACCAAACTAGCGAAGACCTTGGAAGAAATCCGCGGGCATGTCAGCACACTGACTGTCCAGGATCTCAAGCGCCTTTTGTTCAGATCTGCGGCCACGGTGATATCGATGACCAAGGTAGCAGTGAATCATCCTCCGTACGTTTCGCATAGAGCTCATCGTATCTTGGGCGTCCCAGCATGACCACGATCTACTGAATTACATCGTCACTCTCCCGTTCGAGATCTTCACGCCCTCTGCTTTGTCGTCGGGGATTGAAGTATGGAGCTGGGTCATCGCCGAGAAGCCAGAGGCGGAGGTTGCGCTCATGGCTCAGATACTCACTGCCTGGACCAATACAATCAGGCAAGGAAAAGGGATATTCTCGAAGTCGTTGAGGTGCGCCCATCATCTGTTTCAGGCCTTTAAAGGTACTCAACGCAATAATTTTTCAGCTACGACAATCCTTTCAACCATTCCATCGAGTACAGTCCAACGGACAAAGAAGTGATCGACCGCAGCACTAGTAGCGCAAGGCGTACTCTCATTCCTCACGCCCTGGTCTTACAAATGCTACTTAGCCGACTTCAGGCTGCGAGATATCGTAGACCCGGTGTCATGTTCATGATTCAACGTTTGGTCTTGCGCTCCGCAGATGCCCACAAGGCGCTCAGGTGAGCTTCCCATGCACTTCTGAGCGACACAATCTTATCGGTCCTGCATCCTAGTACACATCCGCTAGCCCGCGAGATTCGGTTTTCCTTCCTTCTTTTTGGGTTCGAGACTCTGAAAAGCTCTCATCTCGATGCTTATTGTGAAAACGCATTGCGGGAATGCCTA